CGGAATTTTCTGATTTCTGTATCATAAAACTCTTTAATTACGCATCTTTTCTCTAATTTGGCCATCATCGTATCTTCTATGGTTCGCCATTCCCATTCCTATCAAGACAACATGTTTTCCCGCTCGTTTTGCCAGTTTCCCAACGAAATTCGCGCCGTAGTTTCAACGTTGGAAATGTTTGTGGTTTCGTATATGGGTACCAAGTTCGGAATTTCGTTCAAGGCGAAAATACAACGGTGTCGCATTAATTGACGATTGCATCGTACTCGATCGTGATCGGTAGGTGAAGGAAAAGTCATGGAGGCTGTCCATACGGTATTTAGTAGTGCTCTCGGTAGTGCTTAATTGTTTTGTTAATTCCAATCTTATCCTTGTTTCTTCCCATAGTATATTACCGTGGCTAAATGGGCTTAAATCCCCAAAAAAAGCCTTATTAAAAAAAAAATTCCAATCTAAAATTCTCGCATCTTTTTTGATAGTGTTACGAGCGTGTTACCTCGCATGTGTTACGATGCTTATTATTCAGAAGGCTGACGTTTGCAAGTGATCCGATTGAATACGAGTTAATTGTGTTTTACATATGGCGATATACGGTTGTCATTTCCAATGTCTCCGATGGTTGAATGGATTGCGAAATCTGTGAATTTTTTACTATCAATCTAACCAGAAAAAGAGCAAGATACATTTTTCCTGCATTAACGCACAGGATTCCTTGCGTACCCTACAAGGAATCATCGATTTGGTAATTTGACAAAAGTCATTATTGAGACTGCAACAAATTTTGCATGGTTCAACGAAATAAATTGCGGATAAGAACTTTCAGTGAATATTCGCGATTGATAGTCTCAGCTTTCCACACACAGATATCTCGAGCGCAGTCGAATGTATATCGGCGATTTCCAAAAAAATAATCATAGATGTCGCTGAAAATCCCAGAATGTCCAATAGTCCTGTGGCTGGATATACTTCTGTACAAAGTTGCATTTACGGGGAATCACTTGCATCTGTCTGCTTCCTTATGGGTCAGAGTTCATGAAAAACTCGGGTGACAGCCGACTAGTTCCAGCACTAGGTGTACGATGACGTCATTTTATGCATAGTTACACAAAACCAACTTTATTGCGGTAATGATTGATCCTAGCGTGTTTTCACCTATTACTAAAAATATTTATTAGTAAAAAATGAATAAATTTGGTCACCAGTAAAAATTTCGTACCCTTAGCAGTTACGAAGATATAACGAAAAATAGGTGGTTCACTACAGCAAAATTTCTAGCGAGTTCTCGAGGACGCAGATTACTAAATTTCAACAGCTTTTCAACCTACCTTTAAATTCGCAATATAAGTGCCGCAATTCCATTGCCAGTTCAAATGGATAGCTTCTGGCCATCTCCGGGTAACAAAATGGAGCTGCAGAATATAATCAGAAAGCGACTTTTGGAACTATCCGATAAGGAGAAAGTACTCTATCTAAGCGCTACTACAGTTCCCGGTTATAAATGTATAAAAAATTATCAAAGTCCTCGTGTGCGATCGAAGGGACTTCAGCCTCGACTTCAGTGCATTTTTGTGTGGCAGATCAGTATTCTATTAGCCTTTTCGACTCAACCATCAATAACAGATCTTGTCGAAGGCTACTACATTCACTAACCCTTTCCCACTTTCCGCGTGCACCCGCAATTCGCTTTTAAAGTTAAAATCGTGTCGGGGGATACCACATTCCACGTCCCGTTCACCTGCAATTCGCTTCTATTGGCGACACGAGAAAGAGAGACAGCGATTCGAGATTTACGAAACGTTAAACCGCGTGAGTTCGCAACGGAAGGTAAAAGGCGCCCGAAGTTGACTACTTCTCGTAGACGCGCGCGCGCGCCTCGCAAAAGGTCGTTAATTTCGCCCCTAGGACAAAAAACAAAAATCCGCCACGCAGGAGTTGTGCGCGTTTACATCTTTCCGACGACACCAATTTGAAAAGAATCGGACCAAAACTGTGGTAGAAGATAGGAAAAAACTGAAAAACCTTCACGTTAGTATACTACGCTCGAGGATGACGCCCAGATGTCGCCAACCCCACATCATGTAGCCATGTCCCTAAGGTTGACAAATTTCACGGCCTTGTAAGCCAGCCAAAGTGAGATTAAAAGCTACTTTTTACAAATAAATTTGCAAAAATGCGCTAAAAAATACGAAGTGAAGTCACTCAAATAATCGAACTTAAATACAATCAACTGGAGGAGGCAGATTTACGATTGATGGTTCATCTTCTTGATGCTGCGCAGAAAGGGACACAGAGTACACAGACTTTCTAGTGCTATGTGCATATCACTAGAAAACTATTAGCTTCCATGACATGAAGGTAAGTCCTGGTCATTTGATTATTTTATATTAATTTTTTATAGGAACTATGGATGAGAATGAGTGTAGGTGATTCTACTCGATATGTACCGGTGCACACGCTGGCTGAAAATTGTGGCCCAAGTCTCTGTAACGCTCTTCCTGCTTTCCATGCAGTTACGAGATGCAATTTTACAAGCAAAGTTAGAACAAAAGTCGCTGCCCTTAAAAATAACCCAGAAGACTACCTTACCCAGTTTGGAAAGACAACTGAGGAGGATGCAATAAGCTTAAGCCTGCAAGAATCGGAAATTTTTTTAGTGCGAGTGTTGCAGAAAGGAGGTACTACTGGTACGTTTTGCAATACCATGAATGAACTGCGGCGATATCAATATCACCAAGGTACAACGGCCATATAAAATCTAGCACCCACTAGCGGAATGATAAAAGGGCAATTATTGCGTGCCTTATACTACACTGTAATACAGGTAACGTCAACCCGTTTTCGTAGGGGAGCTAGCTCGAAATCCAATGAACGAGAATGATCAAAATTTTAACCGATAGAGTTCAATTTCGCCCTATCCGAGTATGCTAAAATCGACCGTCTGTCGCCTCAGGTCATATTACTTAAGGCGCTACGAGTACCAATTCTAAAAGGTTGTTTTTCGAAAAAAAGTTATACACCAAATGAAAACGTTGATAATAGCTCTTAAAAAAATATTTTAAAAAATCGCGCGCATTTGATAACTCCGTAAAAAAACAATTCTTAGTCGGTTTTTCACGAACTTTCTACTGATATAACTAGGTTACCGTTGGATGAATGAAGCTGCTTTTTTACAGATTAATGATAGACACAGCCAATGACTTAATGGTGTATATTTTTTAAATTTTTTCTCTAATTATAAGATGATCTTATTATAATAAGATATCAAACAATTACAGAAAAAATTTAAAAAAAGAAACACTGTCATAGTCATTGGCTTTACCTATCATTAGTCTGCAAAAAAATCAGTTTTTGGTTTTTTGGTTTTGTAAATGTAGAAGTAAAAAAAACTATGGACTGCAAAAATCCTTTCAAAAGCAGAACGTAGAAGAGGAAAACAATTTTTATCAACAATACTTACACTTTGTTTATTGCAGTAATAAAAGAGAAAACTGAATTTTTTTGTAACACCGTCTAATGTCCGATCACATATCTCCGAAATCCTGCGTGATATCAGATTTTGAGTAATAAACAAATTTATTCATTTTTTAAAGGCCAACATTTTTGATAATAATAAGACAAAACATGCTACGACCACACCTTGCCGAAATAAAGGCGATTTACGTAAACATTTATAATTTTTGTGTATGACGTCATTGTGCCGCTGAGTGCAGGTCATGATAGACTGTCACCCAAGTTTTTCGTAAAGCTTGACCCATATGGATGTGGATGGAGAGAGGTGATTTTCCGTACGTGTAACTTTGTATAGAAGTAAATACCCAGCGACTCGATTACAAGGATATCCCGTGGATGTTTAGTGTACAAAACTTTATCTGTAATTCTCTACTCGGAAATAAGCGTAGTGAGGTCCTCTTAACTTTCAGTGTATTTTTTCGCCAAAATCTACGACGAAATACCCGATCACACACGTTTGTCTTCAGCCAAAAAATGGAGTAGCACCTACCTACCTATTTTTGCGAGAATACTGAAAGAGCTTTTAGAGAAGTATTCGCATTAAAAGTTGATGACAGCGATAAATAAATTTCTCTGGACAGATTTCTTTAAATATTTGGGGATAACTGAGTATGTTTTCGGTTATCACCGGTTAGCTTCGGGGACGTTCACGGATATCTCCGGATATTTTCGGTCGACAAACATCTTGAAGATCTGTGGATTTCTGATACTAGACATCAACTCCGATATTGCTCTTCTAGAAAGCCAGACGCAAAATAGCATTTTGAAATACCAGTTTTTCGATTACTCCAATACAATTGGCTGTTTACAACTACCTTAACTTCTACCATAGTGTAAAAAAATTGTGTTATTTATTATTTATTTATTTATTTTGCCTTTTATTTTTAAGTGGGCGGGGTTTCAGCCGAGGCTGCTCTACCAACCCAACCCACTATACATTTACAAATATCCATGCCCGAACCCGGATTTGAACCAGGGACCCTGTACCGCAGTCGAGCTTCCACTGAACTGCGCTACACGGGCCGTGTTTACTGTATGCTTTTACTGAATGTTCGGGAGGCTTCTTACAATGTCTTAAATTCACAGCATTCGCCGAAAGCTACATCACCAATTTCTGACCATATGCAGGCCATGGTATCCAGAAACCCGAAAAATCAATTTTAGTTTTAAAACATTTCATAATATACAGACTCGTTTTAAATTGAAAATACCTACTATGCACTGTGACAATGGCAGTTTTTTCATTTTATGCAGTTTTGAACCGAAACATCTCCAGAATTTTGAAACTTTACCAAAGATGCATACAATTTACTTATGAAAATAGAAACGCACTGTTTGATATTTAATTGACACAATGTAAATGAAGATTTACACTGAAAGTGAAAGTATGTGAAACCATTCTTCACACATTAACGAACAGTACCATAAAGTTGAGAAAGTAACGATAATTGTGTTTTTAATTAAAAATTAGCATACTATTGCAGACTTACCTATGAACTAGATATGGATGAATAACTTCAGCAACATTGTGCATATGAATATATAAACAAACCAGCTGCGGAAGGTAGAAGTCCACTTGTGAATCCTGGAAACTAAACATTCTATTCGCTATATAACATTGAACACCAGGCTCTTTGCTTTTAAATAGGTAATGCATAGCCATAGGCACATCGAACACTTTGCTTTCGAGCAACCGTAGTATACCCGTGCTGGGTTTTGGGGGTTGCAGGTCATATACAGATCGAGAACTACTTAACGTATTATCACTTGCTGCTCGTACATCGTTTACGTTCGCTTTTTCACTATTCGCCGGATGTTTATGTACACTTTCACAACCGATTTGTAAGTTACTTGGTCCATCACACACACTAATTAGACAATCCGAATGTGGCGTACTCGACAGTATATCAGATCCTTCACATATATCAGCACCGGAGTCTAAGCTTTCGCGACTTCGATTATTCGCGTTACTCAACAACTCCTCATTAGAACCTCTAATCATATCGTTAACGCATCCATCTGAACTACATAATATACCCGAATCGTCCGAGCCCAAACTCGCCAGTTCGTCTCTTTGCGTTTTCGCAGCGGACTGACCGGTGCAATTAGTATGCCCATCTGATGATGTAACTGTTGTGACGTTTTCGCATTCGGGACTAGGAGTTACATCTACTTCGGGAATCCTTTGGAGAGCGGAGTCCAAGCTACGGTTCCGATGGTGAAGGGTGAGGTGAGTATTTGTAACCGTTGTGACTTGTGTTATTGGAGGAAGTAGAATGCCCATAGATCTGCAATGACAAAAAAGAACATTAGTGGATGTTTTCCTGATGAGTGATGATAGTTCAATTCAACTAACCCTCATAGGTAATGGGTATTTCTAGAGCTTTCCTGCAATGGTTACATTTCTTAAAATAAATATAAGCAAATAATAAAAAGCGTTGCAAAATAAGGCTAACAAATTGGTTTGTTTGCACGGCAATAATTTCAATATCTCGCCTCCAACTTTAATGTGAAAAACAATTGCGCTATTACTTCAATCAATTTTCATCTATATTGAAATAATTCACTTAATTTCCAGTAAACACGGATAAGTTCAATACGTACCTAACCTTAACCTTATATAGTTTATATATTCAGCAAGATCGATTAGTAATCGTTTGGAAAAATAATAATCAAATTTTAATCGAAACTTCCGTGCATAATTAATACACTAATTAATAAATGCATTCTTTTAATTTTTAATTTAGTTTTTAACTATTTTATGAGGGAATTGTCAATAGAAGCCTGAAAACGCCCACTTGCTATGAACTATGACAGTCGCCAATCATCAGGAGTAATTGCAGCTATTGTTGATCGAGTTCCCATGTCCAAACAGACTCACCCGTTGAATGTTGATTTACTTTTCTTGATCATAGCCTGTATTCACGCGAGAGGACTTTTTAAAACTCGTTTTTAAGTTTAGTGAAATATGCAACTGTCGATCCTTTTTTGATTATGTAAAAAACAACCGTAACAAAAGGAAGTTGGTATTCATATCAGTCACCGCCTGCTTGAATTTGATATTAATATTATATTTATATTAAACGTTTTTCATAGCTAAGGAGATTTTTGAAAATGGACACTTTTCAGTTTTTATAAATAACCTTTAATTTGGCTCGGTTTCTCGAAACGGTGATGTGATGCAACGTATCCTGTCAGTTTTTAAACTTCTATCGTTCGAGCTTTTATAAATTTCATTAAAGGAGAAAAATCAAGCTATACGCCACTGGAAATGTTTTACCGCGAGAATCATAGCAATTCAAATTACACCAGGACGAAGGATGCACTTGATTTCCTCTTCAAGCAAAAGCGGAGCCGATTGCGAAGGAAACATTGTCGACACAACTACTAAGGTCTACTTTTCCACAAGTGTAGGTCACCTTCACCTTTCATTTAAGATTAACCGGCTGTTGATATAAGAGATATTGAATGGAACTTTTCCACCTTGTTGAAAAGGCGACTTTGAATTCAATCCCGGCTTCATTTTTTATTTCTTATCTACAAAGTACAATAAAAATAAAAAGACCCGTGTGTCCTCAATTTTTATTTGCGAGTAAATTAAACCCAAAATAAATTATTGAAAAGCTGTGTTTTTCGTCCGAATTTGAAACGCTTCAGTCTAAATACGTCACAAACCTACAACCAATCACGTAGAAGTGAGCCGGCAACCTTGTGCGAGGGTCTGACGTTTGTCGGATTTGACGTTTTAAGAGGCATGTTTAACTGCATCTAAAGCGAAAGTGAACGACAAGTGACAAGGGCCTGTAACAGGTGACGCAAGTTACAAATGACATTCTCCTGCAATATTAATATTGCCAATTCGTTATGTCATCTGAATGGTTCTAGGAGCTGATTGGTGGGGCTTATTAGGTCACAGAGCGCGCCACAATCATATCGTTTTGAATAAACCCTTAAAACCGCACATGTTCATTATTTGTTTGCTAATCAGCCTCTATTTTTAAATAAACTTTCACTGTCCAAAAAAATGTTTTATGGTTTCAGGTACACGCTTATTAAATTAGAACTACGGAATTCAACTATACTGTAAACTCCCATTATGATTTTTGTTATCGGCTTGTACAGTGGATCGGAGGTTTCTGTTTGTTGTGTGTGAGAGCGTAAAATATTTATTGAATTTGTTTTTGTCTTGCCATAATCTTATACTAGCTAGTAATTGATGATAAAATGAAAGAAAGCCTCGCAAGGAGATTAAAATGGTCTTGATCGAGGTCCATAGAATTTACCCTACGAGAGTGCTGTGTTCTTGTTTAGTTTACACACCATTTTAAGTGTAAATGATTTGCACCTGACTATGGAACTCAGTCCTAGAGTTGCCTTTGTTTGGCGCGGAAGTCAAGTAAGATTTTATGCTCGGGCACAAATTATGCTATTATTGTAGGTATTATTAGGTTACCCTCCAAGTTTTTATGACTCCACAAGACCATGGTATTTTGATACAATCTTACTCTGCTCAAATGCCAAATGTGATTATTTTTCATGACTCATGCAGACTAGAATACTGTTATGTGATGTGATGGGTCTCGTAACCCTACTCTGTATACAAATATGACACCTCTTTTATTATACAGGATTTGTATAAAAGTATCGGGAATGATATTTTGCCGGCGTGACTGTACGTCGCAGTGCGCTTGCTCAGGATCGGCTCGGTAGCGGAGGGCCCGACCTTAAAAAAACGCCAACTGAGCAGTCGTCTCCAAGCACAAGTTTTTAGTGAACTCCTATCGAGTGACTTGTTGCAAGCTATAATAGAGATCTAGCGATTGAACAGCGGTATGCCATTAAATTGTGTTGAACTAGAGTGCAGAAACGTTGGGTATGATCCGCCAGGTGTTCCAAGACGAAAGCATGTCAAATACTGTCGTCTTTAAGTAGCACAAGCTCTTGAAAGATGGCCGAAAAAGCGTCCCGAATTAATTTCATGTCCTAATGCAGGCGCCTGAGCTTTTAACCATGAACAAAAACGATATATTATGTATATTTTTCGCATCATGATTGCTATTTTTACGAGGGCGTATAACAAATAAAAAATTGGGATTGCGCAAATACAAAAGTTGGAATGCGCATGCGCAATATTTTTTTTTCATTTGCCTGAGGTAGGAATAACACAGAAACCGGACATTCGTACGTTCTTTGTTATAAAAGAAACCTTTTTTAGAGGTTTGGGCAGTTTTTGGGCTGTAACTTTTTGCCCCGTTAGTCTACATAGCCGAAAAACAATAGCGACCTTTCTTATACGTATACTGAAGAACATGTGTATCAATTTTCAAAGCGATCGGACGTTTCTGCACAAAATTATCGTGCACACGGACAGACAGACGAACAGACAGGCAGCAATACAAAATTATAAACGATCTCGAGGATCGTTAATAAATTTATCTGAAATATTTGCATGGCAATAGAGTATCGGCTATAACAAAGCAACGCCTATTTTTAAATGCAGACATCATTAAATTGGCTTGTGGTTAGCGAGAGAATGATAGGAATTTACCGCTACACAAAAAATCGTTAGGGTTCCGAAAACGTCTAAGGTTAGAAGTTATAAAAACATTTCTGCGGCGGTGATTATACCATTTATTTATGTTACATAATCGTTATTTTCTGGATCCTTTTACTTTCGATGATTAAAGTTAATAGCACGTGAAACAGTTCTCTATTTATGGTCATCGTTTGACCTGCTGTAAATTTTACCGTATCCCTAATAACCGAACATCAGAATTGCAATAATTAAATAAACCAACTTTTAATTTGGTAATCGGAAATAGTTACCTGTTATAATAATGAAACTGTTAATGACCGATTTAAATTTTAAATAAGAAACCATTCCATGTTAATGTAAAGGTGTTTTGCAAATGTGATTGATTTCACTTACAATTAGTACCATCTGTTTGTTAGATCTGTTTGTACCAAATACAAGACAAAATTATTTAAACAGAATTCAGAACTCCATTCAAAAACATTCAAAAATTATCCAATGATTCAACTGAACGTGAATCCTATTTGGACATGTTTTGACACTAATTAGGTATATGATGATATATTTATAAATCCCTTAGGATTCCTCGGAATAAGTTGAGTGATTTATTGAATGTAGGTACTTTATTCTAAGTATGGTCACTACCTACTACAACTTGTTCGAGGTCGCGCTGTACCTAATCCTACAAAAGTCTGGAGGAAACTGGACTCTGGCGACGCCGATTCATTTTTATAAAGGAAAGAGCGCACAACATTCTTAGTTGTTAATTCCAACATTATATTAAAATGTGATTGATTAAATCTAAGTAACGTTTCCATTTTTTCAGGTATAAGGCATTTTTTTAATTGAACTGAAAAATACACCATTAAAAAGCTTCATCTTTTGTCTATTTTTCAACATAGTCGCCAGATTTTTCTACGCATTTTTGATGACGAGAAATCCACTTTTTTGAAAATCCGCTTCAAAAAAGTCCGCGGCGCATGGTCATGGTGCAACCGTACGCTATTAGTCAGGCAGTCTTCCTCTTCGGCGATTTTGAATGGCTCGTCTAACTTTTTTCCAAGGTCTAGTACAACGTTCCGAATCAATGGTGGCCCCTCTAGGAATAAATTCGGTAAGCACGATACCCATACAATCTCAATCGAGGTCTCAATTCCCAAACACCAATCGCTGCATGAATTTAGCACCTGGTGCTGGCGGTGGTGGGAGGTTGCATCACGGATGGCTGTCAGGCCGGTTTAGAAATAATGTTCAAATTTTGTGGGTTTTTCTAAGCGAAAACCGGAATATTGTCATGAGCAGAATTTTCAACAAAACGTTATTTTAATTCAGTGGTTTCTTTATAAATTTGTCGTTCTTTGTTGCTTAAGTCAATGTTTACCAGATCACTGGCCGTTTAATGGCATGGAAAAGTAGTTGGTGCCCTCATGGCGGGAAAAGGAAAAGGTCAACGTGTTTCATTCCTCCGACACCCCGAGGGCTGCCCAGGGTTTCCTGTCCCTCTTCAGCCAGAGAACTGGATCTCGAACTGGATGTAAGGATGGGAACGAAATGAACGAGTTAGGGTGCTGAGAGTACTGCTTCAGCCTCGTAGATTTCAACGTAACGCTGGCCGAAGCTACGTCCGTCTGTAGAAAACCCCCTGACAAAACTCCAGACAAAGCAGTCAGGAGCTCCCGAATAGCAGTCGGTAACGCAATAACTGCGCCACCGGCTTCGGTACCTGGCAGGAGATAAGACACGAGTTAATGGGTA